AGATTTCATTGGCATGTTTTATGAGAGAAGATTCATGAACAAAACACTCTTTTGAATCTTGTAAATGAATTGGTTGATTGTTCATTCAATGATTCATTTATGAATTGGAATGATTTATTAGTCATTTAACTCATTAGCTGCATTTACATGCACCCAAATAATCCATCTAATAATCAGATTGATGGCTCAATCAGACTCAAAAGCCTTCGTGCAAACACCTTAATCGATGCAACTGAGATCGAATGAAAATTTCAATTGGATTGAAAGGAGCGGTGTAGACCTAAAATAATCTGATCGACAGGAAAAAATGGAGCATGTAAAAGGTTGAATCAGACTATTTTCACAATCAGATTCAAAAAAATACCTTGCAAAGTGCTGTGATGCAAGTTCACAAAAGGTTCAAATCTTACAAACATATGTTTATTTCCTTGCCATGCCTCGTGAAATGGCCAGTGGATGAGACTAAATATTTAAATTTAAATTTCTTTTTAGAAGGCAAAATCATCTGGGCACTGCACATTAGCTGACGTTTTGTTCAGAAGAGATGTAATGCATGTAAAATCATATGTGAAATGCAATGTTCAGGGTTCATATAAACAGAACTTTCAGATTGTAGGTCTGTTTATCACAAAGATATCATATGGGTTCAAATTATACTTTAATGTTTTTATGTCCTTTTCAAAGCTTGAAAGCTTCAGTCCTCGTTTATTGTAAACTGCACTGAAAAGTGCAACAAGCAGCATTAGGAGTTGGAATTACATGAGTTGATTTTTATGTGAACTACTGGATTTGAAAAGGTGGGTTCTGGATGTAGGTGAGAAACAGACAACCTTCTAACCCCAGACTAATCTCTCAGTGCACAATGGCAGGAGGTGAATGAGAGGGGTGAGTGGCACTCATCCTCTGATGTGAGAGCTGCGCTGGGAGAGATTACCCAGAGCTGGGCTCCAACCGAGCTCTATTCACTATTCCACACGCACAGCTCTGCAGAAACCGGCTCCACGGAGAGCGTTCAACAAAGACAGAGACAGAGAGAAAGACAGATGCACAAACAACTTCCAGGACTGCAGATACAGGCTGAGGTTGAAAGTTTCAGTAGACTAACACGATACTGCAGTGCAGAGAAACAGTGAATTAAGATACGCAGCGGCTTTCCGCTCACTGAGGAAATTATGTCATGGTTTCTAATAGAGTGCAGCACTGATACGAAAACAATCAATATCAAAGCTGTGATAAAAGACAATGGATCATTCTACTAAACAGGTTCCATTTGTGTAGCTCTTAAATAAATATAAATTGATATATCACAATGAAATGTGAAGAAAACTTTAAAGGAAATTAACTATTAAATAAATAAAAAAGGCATAATGATATTATCAGCCTATACATGTTTATTTAATATATAGGTTAAAATTTCTAGAAATAACATATTAAAATGTCAACCATGCTACATTTCTGAAGGCATAATTAACATTCGGTCACTTTTGACCAGAAAATGTAATATGAAAAAATTATTGACATGATTCAGATATGTTAAAGTGTTGAAAAATAAAAAGTAACACTTGGTACCTTCATTGTCAAACAAGACCGACATAGGAAATTAATGGGGAGAAAAAAAAATCAGAATGGAATGAAATTTGGTCCCTTTTTGCCACAAAAAAAAAAAACTTGTGGATAATAAAAATTTTATAAATATTGCATTGTATCATAAAATCTCCCCAAAATTCTAAATAATAATCAACCAAAAATATTACTGAAAAAAATTATATACTGTAAGGTAAATTTTCTTGAAAAAAAAAACAAAAAAACATTTCAAGGCTTCAGTCCCTTTTTGACAAGTGTGCTCAGAGGGTTAACTTAAGGTGCCACAATGCAATTAAATACATATTATTTGCGTGACATAAAAACACTTACAAAAAATGTAATCTTACCATATTAACTGGAAAAAGCACCTGTTTCATAGAATGATGCTAAAATGCAAATAAAAGGATAGATAAACAACACATGCAATAGAATAACTGAGCTGAGCTCCAATGTGAAAAACTGATGAGTGGTTGCATCCAAGATATTTAAAAAAATGTCCAAAAGCTCCTTTTTATAATGGGAATTGGGGCTGTCAAGTTCCAAAAAAGGACCATAAAAATGATCCATATGATTTGTTTGCTATATTATGAAGACATACAATAACTTTGTGCAAGAAAAAGACAGAAATAGTGACAAAGATGACAAGAAACTTGGAGTTGTATGCCTTGAGGAGGAATTTTTGAACTGAACATAAGCATGAATGAGATTTCAGAGCAATGGATAGGTAAATGACAGAATCATAATTTTTGCACTATTCCTTTAAAGAGAAAAATGTTTAAATAAAGATTAGGGCCGTCTACCTTTCCAATAACACTATCAGGTGACACCGTGAACTACAGTAGCTCTGACCTCTTCCTCAACTGCTAATAGCTTCTACAGTCAGCCGCATATGTTCCCTCTTCCTCGCCGTCAGCTCTGGGCCAGTCCGTCACTTTTATTTACATTCTTGTTCTCTCTCACAATCTCCGTCCATCGTATATGAATCAGCTGTTCAGTTGCCCAGCATCTCCCTCGTCTCAGTCAAACGACGACCAACACGCTTTACGCTCGGCCACACCTGTGCAAGCACTTACACAGAGTTCCCTCTGGACTGCTTTACCGTCATCTTCCATCGTCCTGAGGCCCGGCTCCAACACGGCGCCAACAAGTCCCTTGTTCGCAAAAGATGCTGAAAACCAACTACAAGCCAAGCGTGAGGCTGCGGAAACAGCTAACGGTGTCAGAATCGCAATAAACTACACAACAGAGCCAAATCTAGAAGCATACCTCCACATTTTCCGTGGCCTGTCCACACCATGAGGCTTAAGGGCTGAAAAGCAGGCATGCGATTGCGATATTGAGATAGCGCTGATTAATTTTGCAGGTCAGTCTGATGCCGAGTTCACTGCACGTCAAATATATTAGCTTTCCACATTTCAGAGTAGTTTTAAAATAGTGTTCCAGCAAAATCTAGGAACATTTAGTGTTGCCATATGACCTGGGGTTGGCAATGCTAACATTATGTAATTGAAAAAACAAACTTGACAAGCTAAAATAAAAAGTGGCCTGGTGAGTGAACTTAAAGGGTTAGTTCACCCAAAAATGAAAATTAGGCTGTGTTTTACTCACCCCCGAGGCATCCTAGGTGTATATGACTTTCTTCTTTCAGACGAATCCAGTCAGAGTTATATTAAAAATTGTCTTTGATCTTTCAAGCTGTTTAATGCCACTCAGCGGGTGTTGCATGCATCAGTCCAAAAGAACTTAAATAAAAATCGGCCATCTATAAAAAAAAGTTCCTCACACGGCTCCGGGGGGTGAACAAAGGCCTTCTGTAGCGAATCGATGCATTTTTGTAAGAAAAATATCCATATTCAAAACGTAATAATCACTTGAATCTAGCTTGTGCCAACAGTTGTACACAGAAGCAGTTCCGGGAGCATGACGTATGAGTTCAGCGTTGCGCATGTACGTGTACGTGCATAAATGTATGTGCTGGATTTATAACATAATAAATGTTAAAGAATGTTTTATAACAAAACAAACAAATTAATTAAAGAACTAAAAAAATACATTTAAAAACAAATAAATAAATTACCACAGAAAATTTGTAAAATAAATGAAAAATATGCGTAATGTAATTCAGACGCTTAAAAATGCTTGTGGTTGCCAATCCACTTTAACTGAACTTTTATCACCAATGCAAGTTCTCAAAAAAGAAGAGGAAAGAAAATGAAGATTTGTTGAAGGTGTGCAACTACTGTACGAGTGGTTAAATACAAATTGATGCTCATCTGGATTCGAAGGTGTTGTGAACCAGATAAACTGATGCGTAACACATCTTGTAGGACATTCTAAGATATGCATAACTATACTAGAAATGAGAGTTTCATACACAAAACTAGAAAAAACAGAGAAAGAAAGAAACAAGAAATGTATTTCCTCACTCCTCTCCAGTTATTGTCATCTAAAAATAAATACTCTTTAAATATGCTTGTTAACGGAATTAAAGCTTGAATATAAAATTGTATTTATATAAATATTAAATATATATAATATAAATATAAAAATACAAAAATAATATTAGATGAAAACCTTAAACTTAAAAAGAAGTAAATAAAAAAACTGGTTTGCCTTGACAACTAACTAAAATAAGTATTAAAATTAAATTGAAATATTAAGATATATTAAAAATGCTAAATTGGAGTATTTAAAAATATGGAAAAATTAAAATGAAAATATAAAAATAAAAGCTAATTCAAAAAAAGTTTAGCACTGATCCTCCTATACTGTATCTACCATCTCACAGGAAGGAGATATTTCCTGAAGTGTGGCACTGCGGTCGCTCCAGGGCGGGTCATTGGAGAGCAGTAATGAGAGAAACAGATCACAGCGGCAACCAAGCGGAGAGGTGTGCTGCTGGCAGACAACAGACGATTAACACCTTTAACAGGTGTCTACATCAACTCCAAAACAAAAAGCCAACCACTGTGGCCTGCCTCTTGCCCAACAGTGTGATCGAGAGGATACATGCATGTAAAATATTTAAGAAAGTAAATACTTGTACCCGCCGGAATGACTTGTTTTGATGCATACTGTTTTACTATTCAGCAAAGTGCAGTGAATGGAAAAAGTTTTTGAAAGCAGCACAATTGATCTTAAACTTCACTTCAGAACTGTACAAGAAGATTTATGCAGCCAATTTAGGTAGATGCACAAGATAAAGCTGCATTTTGCTGATGATACTACAGTGGTTGTGGACTCCATACTGCCACCTATCTATGGGTATGCAGCGTAAAGACATTTTACGTAATTTCTTTCGGTGCATGTTCAATATGATATTGCAGTACATCAGCGCCCAGTTAGGTTAGATGACACTGATGAGTGCAAACAGAAGATGAACAGAAATGAAGGTTGATGTTGAATGAGAGATGTACCTTATAGAGCATCTTGGGACACGAATGGACGTAGAAACCCAGATAGTAGTAGGAAAGTTTGGGCGACTGCTGCTGCAACTGCCTGGTGAAGGCAATCTCCCTGCAGAGAGAACCAGAGCAGAAATAATGCTTTGCAGGCATATGGGTTATGCTACAAAACATGTAACCACTTAGTTTGACATTACTAGCTTTGTGCTTAAAGGGTTAGTTCAGCCAAAAATGAAAATGCTGTCATTAATTACTCACCCTTGTGTTGTTCCAAACCCGTAAGACCTTCGTTCATCTTCGGAACACAATTTAAGATATTTTTGATGAAATCTGAGGACTCTCTGACCCTCCCATAGACAGCAAGGTAACTACCACGTTCAAGGTCCAGAAAAGTACCAAGATGATCGACAAAGAAGTACCATGACGCGCTCGCGTCATGATACTGTCGCGAACGCGCGTCCACAAGTGACGCAGTAGAGATGAAAATGTGGAAAAGTCGTTATTTTTGTTTTCTTTGCGCAAAAAAGTATTCTCGTAGCTTCGTAACTTTACCGTTGAACCACTGATGACACACGGACTACTTTGTCAATCAACTTGGTACTTTTCTGGACCTTGAACGTGGTAGTTACCTTGCTGTCTATGGGAGGGTCAGAGAGTCCTCAGATTTCATCAAAAATATCTTAAATTGTGTTCCAAAGAAGAACGAAGGTCTTACGGGTTTCGAACAACACAAGGGTGAGTAATTAATGACAGAATTTTCATTTTTGGGTGAACTAACCCTTTAAACTCGTGAAACTGCTTTGATGCTCCTTACAAAGAGAACTGATTTAATGCTACAAACATCCACTGTTCAATTCTCTGTTGTTTTCGTGATGAAACCAAAGAAACAGTTATTTTCAGACAGGCTGGTAAAATAAGACATTTACTTACTCTTGCCCATTACTCCCATGTAGTTTGACAGCTTTCTTTCCATTTATGTAATATGTTATGTGACTTTACTTTTATGGAAGACAAAAGAAAATATTTTGCAAAATGTCCACAAAGCTCTTTTTCATACTGGGGATTTCAAGCTCCAAAAACTACGAAAAAAAAGAAAGTACCATATGACTTGTTTTGCTACATTTTGAAGACATACAATAGCTTTGCGCAAGAAAAGACAGAAAAATAGCAGAAATTATGCTTTGAAATCTCATTAAATTTAAATATGCTGCATAAAGACATGTCATGTGTAATATTAACTCTTTCCCCGCCATTGACGAGTTATCTCGTCTTTTACAAGAAAACGCTTCCCCGCCAAAGACGAGTTTTTACAGCTTTTCGTGTTTTCATTGTTATACACTCGTGGGCGTTATTACGCATCTTCTAAACGAGTACAAAACCTCCCAAACAAAAACACACGTGAACAGGACAGAGAAACTAGCGATCTCTTATGTAAACAGATGCATATGAAAAATAATGCAATCATCAGCAATAGACAGCATATAAATGAAAACTGCATAATGTTACAGAGTAAAATGTTGATCCAGGAAGCGGTGTATATGTCTGTGCAAGCTTTGGAGGTATTGATGAAGATGTAGTTTTTGATAAAAATGTGATTTTCTCACCTTTTTCTCAAAATTATGCATTTTTAATGAAACCTACTTATATTCAAGTGTTGATAAAAAAAAAAGAACGCTTTAAGCTAGAATAAAACTGAATTTTTTTTTTTTTAAGTAGAGGCTCTGATCTTGGTGTATTGCATATTCAAATATTCATACAGCAAAATATACTGGAGGCCATCAAATTTTAGAGAAAATCATCAAAATTGCTGGCGGTGGCTGGCAACTTTTTTCAAAAATGCTGGCAGGGAAAGATATTTAGAGATATGACACTTAACTTAGGGAAAAAGAGGCAATTGACAAAACTAATTTATTCAGTTTTTTTGTAAATAACTATAAAAAAAAAACTTTATATACAACTATTAACGGTTCATAATTATACTATTATGATGTGTAGAATCAGGATATGATGCTTAAAATAGATAAAACATCACCAGACTTGCTGCATATGGACCAGATCAACGGTTTCCCTCATAAACAGCCATTTAAATGTATATCTGGAAGTGCAGAAAAAGAGGAAGGGGAGGAGAAAAACAAAAGGGAGCTGAGAAAATAAAAACAGGAGGAAAAACCGAGGAGATTTATACTTCCTCCTGCGAGCAATCAACGAGCTCCCGCTCTCTTTCTCTCTTCAGTTCTCGCTTTATTCCCTGCACAAGCACGTTTCTCTTTTCCATAAATAAATCCTGCTCTTTCGTCTCTCTTCTTCTGCATTTTGTACACCTCACACTCTGTCTTTTCCCAAAAATTGTGTGTGTGGGGTGGGGGGGGGGGGGGGGGGTTTATCAAACAAACATAAGAGAAAACCAGTTACTGATGCAGACGGACAGTCAGCCATGTGTGGGGGGAAATGTAGTTTGTTAGGCACTTAAAAGCTTTGAGAAATTTAAAGCAGAATACCACAAAGCAAACTTAATACTAATGGCTTTCAGATACAGCTACAATTATAAAGTTATTTTTTACTGATGCAAATACAATCAGTAGACAATAAAAGTTGCAGATAAAATGTAAGAAGTAAAAATCATGTTTTAATACAGAGGTTACATTTACTCTATGATTACTCAAAGCAAATACAAAAATAGCTAAGTAAAAGTGAAAACTAATAAGAGGGACCTCTCTCCTTATTGACTTACAAGTAGGGATGGGTAAAAGGTTTTAATGGTGATAGAGAGAAGCCAAAGCAAAATAAAAGTGGAGGAAAATGAAAGAGAAAAATAGTGAAGGGAAAAGAAGCGACGACAAACAGCGAGGAGCTAAAAGGTCATGCGGTCGCTGCCAGGTTCCCGGGTTCCCATCCCCTGGTGACAAAGCCTGGCTTTCCGTGAATGAGAGACGGATAAGAAGAGGCTGTGGAACCCATTCACAAAAAAGATGGAGAAAGAAAGGGCAGCCCCCTCCCTCCTCAGTGCTGGCAGCAGCTTGAAGCCTCCATTATCTCCTCTTCAGCGCTCTGACACCCCTACACAAGCCAATTATGCCACAGCGCTCACCACGGACAAGATGTCTGCTTAATATTAATGTCACACACACACACACACATCCAGAGCAGGAGATTTCCTGCGTCCACATAACACAGTGTCTAACTATTATAAGAGATGTAAACAAAACAGCAGTCAATGAAACAATACAACATTGAATTGAACAACATACATGTGGGTAAAGTTTTTCAAAACAGTAAATATCATTTATTAAAATAAACATAAATGCATCTTCTTTAAAGGACATTAAAAAGTTATTTTTACTGAGTAACAAGAAAAATATACCAATTAAAATAGGGTGAATTTGACTAAAATCAAGAACATGTCATATTTCAAACCAAAAAAATTTTAATAAATAAATTTAAAAATACATACATATATACATATATATATATATATATATATATATAGACATGAATGCACTCGTGTATGAATATATGTCTCCTGTTTTGAACGGCCGTAAAACCCCAAACCGTTACCTGCCCAAGATCGTATTTCCCACTCAAACCTTCACGCTGGCTTTTTTCAATCAAGTGGTTAATCGAGAAGGGCGCTTTATTCACCCTAGTCCACCATTGAGACTTCAAACGTCTCGGCGGTAGGGGGCCTACGCAGCCGCAGCGTAACGGGATCTCTCCGCGGCCCCCTCGGCCCATCTGGGTCCAGTTAGCCCTGCAGGAAGGCGGCTCGTTATCACAACACCAGGGGAGCGACTCGGCCAATCCATTCAGTATGAGAGGCTTTAGACGCTGCCGTGCCACCGTCACTCACCTCCAAATTAAAACCAACACAGAAACATCACAAACGCCACTCACAATGTTCAAACCTACGCAGTAAAAAATGTTTGTAATGTTAATGGTAAAAGACAGTAAAAACCTGTTGATTAGTTAACGGTAAGGACCCTTGCTATATATGGTAAAAAATAATTTCATCCACCTTATTTTTGAGGCAGGAGGTGCTATTACGCATTTTGTGAAAGAGCATTAAAGGGTTAGTTCACCCAAAAATGAAAATTCTGTCATAAATTACTCACCCTCATGTCGTTCCAAACCCGTAAGACCTCCGTTCATCTTTGGAACACAAATTAAGATATTTACAAAAATAACGACTTTATTCAACAATTTGTCTCCTCCGCGTCACCCTGGTGCCATTTTGGAGAATATCCACTGAACGTAAACAACGTATGCTATTCTGTGTCAGGTGCGTTATGCGGATACATTTTCTACATTGTTTGAACGAAGGTCTTACGGGTTTAGAACGACATGAGGGTGAGTATTTAATGACAGAATTTTAATTTTTGGGTGAACTATCCCTTTAAAGGAGTGGTTGATCAGCTTTTTTGTGTTTATGGGGTGCAGTGAAATGTGTTCATGCTTTGTGTAAGCTAGATCAGTACTAATTACTAAGCTCAAATTAGTTCATGTGTGCTTCTTATAGCAGTTTAGAAGTCATTTTCTTTATTATTTATTTTCATTTTAATTCAGTGATTTTAACTTTTAATTTAGTTATTTTAATGCTTTAAAGAGCCATTTTTGATTGTAATGTTCTGTTCTGCTATCTTTTCTGCAAAGGTAGCCTACAGCTGCCATAAAACCAGAGAGAGCCTTTCTGCTTGGCTGCTGTAAAAAAAAAAAAAAAAGCAAAAAAATAGGTTTCCTTTTG